TGCACCCTGGGCAATGTATACTCATACGGCCAAAAAGTCTATCAACTGGCAGTTGGCCTCTGACTTCAAACTACCATGACCACACTGTATGTCATATTCGACCCCTTCCATCGAACTCATCTAGCCTTTTCTCTGCCTTTGTGTCTGTCTGTCCGACAGTTTTAAAAGAAACTTATTTGAGAGATTATTACGGATTTTTACACTATTGAACCTCGACTTAACCTCAATTATCTTTATGACAAGATCCTCTAGTTTTGAATGGCTCCATGAAATGGCTAATCTACCTCACCGATTTAGAGTAAACCTAGTATCTTGGGGCCTATTTTTCATAGTTATGACAGGAAGCTCTATGGTGCAAGACGGTCTTCTCGGTTATAGACCGTGATCTAGCTTGCAAGCAAATCACAAAAGTCTTAACGCTTCAAGAGTGGTTGTAATCAAAATTGTCAAGAATTCGCTGATCATAGTTGGAGCTCAAGACTAGTGCCCAGTATACTGGTTCCCATTGCCAACTTGATTTACCTAACTAATCTATATATCATTGACCTAAGGCAAACGAAAAGTGCTTGAATTCTTCAATCTCTAACACCACGATCATTAATTTCGCATCAGATTTTTTCAAATTTGAATTTGGAATATGAATGTTTAAATGTCGATTAGGAAAATTGAGTGGGGCTGTTTGGCTTTTTATAATCCGATAAAAAAGGATGTTGGGAATGGAAAAAAACAACCAATATTTTGTCTGATTATGGAATTGTTGTCAGGCAAAATTCAAATTTATATTAAACAATGATTAACTTAAGAAAGCATATAATGTGCTCATTTGCAAATATATTTGAAAAGGATTTTTAATAAGAACTCCATATTTTCTGATTGCAATGGGTGATTTTCAGTCAATTTTGAGTTACTCAGAGCTATGTATGTAATTAATTATTCTGAATTAGCTCATCTATTTTATTTCCTAACGGAACAAAGTAAGAAATCATTTTTAAAAGTAGTAATTGATCCTTGAATTTTCATGGTTTTTTCGTTAATATTGGTTTTTTCTTTAATTGATAGGAGAACCATTTCAAGATTTATATTTTATGGAATCAAATGTTGAGGAAATAATTTCATATGCAAGCTATTCATTCATTCATATACCCACTCATCACTCCGTGAGTGAGATCGTGATATCAATGTAATTTCTTAATTTTATAACATTAATCTCAATATGGTCCAACATTTAAGGAACGGATACCAATGATTTTAAGATGGTCCTTAGTCACCAAAACTTGTTATAATAGCATTTTAGACAAAATTAAAAGTCAATGTAAAAATAGCGTTGTTACTTGAAGCGTAACTGTTAATTTTATCGGATTAACGATTGTGAAGATTGCTCGTCTTTAGTACGTGTGCTTAGAAAGCCACACATAAACCAAATTCACAGTTGCGGTGTGGAGTGGTTTGTTGGCAACTGCTTATTTTCAAATATTATAATATAATTTAAATATAGAACGTGTATTTATCATACCTTAGTGTTGATTACAGAGCCTGATTATAATTACTTGTTTTCAAGGTGAAATAAAAGTCAGTTCTGATTTGATATGCCCGTATTCAAGGGAATTCATAAAATTTCCATAAATATTTATATGCCTCTTTTATGAAAAAGAAATTGCCTTTTGAAAAAACCAGGCGCCATATTATAACCCATGTGTGCCGGCTGACCATTGGTTACCGTACTCGTCTACTATTTTAGAGTACACTGGTTCAATTATTATCTACTAAAAGACCAAATGCAGAGGTTAAGTCTGCAAAAATAAGAATTTTATCAGACGTTTCGTCTGTCACGAGAGAACAAGCATAGTCAAAATGAACTTCAGAATATCCTTTCCTTCATAATCTCGGAAATAATATTTTTTGTCATTGTAAAAGATTTGCTCAAGGAAACATTAAAATATGTCTTAAACAGCCACTTATTAAATGCTGACACACAAAAAAGCAAGTTTTTTCGCCGAAAATCTTTTTAATAAAATAGGCAAGCGATAGCTATATATATAGAAAAATATGTTTGCATTAATATACTTATTTCAAGCCTCAAAGATGACTTTTATATAAAATACTTAAAATTTGGCTAAATACATCTTAAAAAAACATGAAGTCATATCCGCAAGGTTTCTAATATAATTGAATTACAAGTTCGATCAGTATCTCATGACTTGCTTCTTTATTTATTAATCAACTAACTTTAGCGATTTAAATTAGTCCATAGAAAATATTAAATCTTGTTGATTTCATAAAATTATGTCTGAATGAAATTAACAATACAACATTATTTGTTTAAGTCTTATAGAAACGCGGTACTCACACTTTTGTACTGTCGTTTGCGTGAAGTGAGTGCATTTTCTTCTGTTAATTTCGTTCAACTAGAATGGTGCAAGTATCGCGACGGGAGCGTAAGAGTTACTATTTTAAGAAATTCTCCAAAATGCTGCACCAGTATGATCGCTGCTTCGTTGTCTGCGCTGATAACGTGCGATCAAAGCAAATGCAGCAAATCCGTTCCGCTCTCCGAGGTGTAGCCGAAATTATCTTCGGTAAAAATACCCAAATGAAAAAGGTCATTCAAAACCAACTCCAGCGCGATTCACGTTTGGAGAAGCTGCTTCCCCTTCTAAAGGAGAATGTTGGCCTCGTCTTCACTATGCGTGATCTCGGAGAGGTTCGTAAAGCCCTTGAGAGCAACAGGCTTGAAGCTCCTGCAAAAGCTGGAACTATTGCCCCATGTGATGTCACTGTACCAGCTCAAAACACTGGCCTTGGTCCTGAGAAGACTAGCTTCTTCCAGGCTCTGAACATCCAGACCAAGATTACCCGTGGTACTATTGAAATCATTAGTGACGTTCCAATTATAAAACGGGGTCAAAAAGTCGGTCAAAGCGAGGCTGCTCTGTTGAAGATGCTTAAAATTAACCCCTTTACTTATGGCCTTCAGATTCGACAGGTCTTTGATCAGGGATCGGTATATAGCGCCGATGTCTTAGATGTAACTACAGACCAGATACTTGAAAAGCTCGTCCGTATTACCAACAACGTAACCGCCATTAGCTTGGGCATTGGTTATCCAACATTTACAAGTGTTGGACATATGATTGCCGATGGCTTCAAGAACCTTCTAGCCATTTCCGTCGCTAGTGATTACACTTTTAAGGAGTCTGAGCAGGTAATGGGTCTATTTCAAAAGCTTTATCATGTTTTTTCCGATATAGGTCAAAGAGTTTTTGGCTGATCCAAGCAAGTTCGTTTCTGCTGCTCCTGTGGCAGCTGAATCTGCTGCTCCCACTGCTGCTGCTGAGTCCACGCAGGCTGTAGAAGAAACAAAGAAGGAGGAATCTGAAAGTGAAGAATCTGATGATAATATGGGTTTCTCTCTTTTCGATTAGTATAAGTGAATATAATTAAAAGTTATATTTACCTATGGATTACGTTTCTCTCCTTTTGATTTATCTATGTAGTTCAGGTTTTATTGACAATTCGAGTCATTTCCTAATGGTATAGTCTTTAAATGTGTTGGGTTTACTCTAATTATGCTTGATGTTATCAGTATCGTGTTTTTCTAGTAGAAGATAGCAGACCTTCATTGCATTAATGAATATCCTTGTGGCTTTTCTGTTTAATACCAAATTTATTCTGTTAAGATTTTGTTTTTGCCGTAGGTTTGCACTTCTGGGATAGAAACTACTCAGTTGTTTTTCATCTTGTCGCTCCTATTGATTTATTTGTCAAGAATTACCGTTTGCATCGGTGTGTCATTTGTAAAAATTCAGTTTCCGTTTACTCAGTATAGCTTTACCGTTTAGCGCTATCAGTTGTTTTCGTCCTATGCAATTTTATTGGGTCTCTTGCGGACGATTTTTAGCAATCATAATATTAGTTCTCTCCCCAAGTCAGTGTTACGAAGTTGGAAGCAGTTGCTTTGATATTTGGGTGGCAGTGGTAATACGCTGTTTGTTGGCACTTGTTTGAATCAATCTATAATTATTTTTAAATTAAATACGATTTTCAGAGTTTATCTTCCATTTGTCTGATGACCTGGTCATTTGATCTAATCTAAGAGCATTACTGTTTTAAGTGTGTGATCGATGCTTGCATGTTACAAGTTGTGAACAAATCAGTGAAGCACTTCGGTTACGAGACATTGTCTCAATTAAAGAAATGGAATGTTCCCGTAGGGTTGTAGAGACGACTAATGCTAATCAGGCAATGCGTCTAACGATGTTGAAGCAAGGTATTCAAGTGTTGGCATCGTATAAGAGTAAATAGTCGAGGTATACACAGAAAGAAATGGCAGTATTTTCTATCCCAGGGGTTTGCGATAGACTTGCCTCAACGTGGTGCACCCTGGGCAACGTATACTCGTACGGCAAAAAGGTCTACTAACTGGCAGTTGGCCTCTGACTTCAAACTATCATAACCCCACTGTATGTCATATTCGACCCCTTTCACAGTACTCATCTAGCCTTTTCTCTGCCTTTGTGTCTGTCTGTTTGTTACATCCGTGAATCGCTCTTCTTTCCCCGTGTCGAATTTTTCTCACTTTAATGTCCCTCCCTTCTGTGAAGCCCGAAGTCAACTAAAGGGCTAATGATAACTCCCAAAATACCTCCACGTGGTGCGTCCTGGGCAACGCATATTCATACGCAAAAAAGTCTATTACTTGGCAGTTGACTTCCGACTTCAAACTGCCATGACCCCACTGTATGTCATATTCGACTACTTCTTCAGTACTCATCTCACCTTTTATCCACCTTATCTACCTTTGTCTTTGAAACACTCTTCTGTTCCCACCCCCTCTCGACTCTTTTTCACTTTGATGTTCTTTCCCCTCTGTGAAGCATAAAGTCAACTAAAGGGCTAATGATAACCATTTGATATAATAATAATAATTTTTATATTGTCATATAAATGATTAGTGCAGTGGGGCCCGTCATCGCTTAACGCTCCATCGCATGCGCGCACGCACGCAAGAATTGGGAGATGTAGCCAATCAGAAACCTCCGTTTGTTCAAACTAATCCGCCATGCTGAACATGATTACTCCCGGCGTGGACACTACGTCTGTTTCCTCTATAGATGGGCTATAGCTTAGCTAGGTCTGGGAGTCTAGCCAGGTGTAGGAGAATCTGTCACAGAGATTCCTGAGTCAGTCAGGCTTTACTTGTTCAGCAATCCGCCGCAGTACTAAGATAAAACCTCTTGAAAGCACTAGTATCAATTTAATTTTCACATTTTTGCTCACTTG